GTTGTTTAATTTCTTGTTTAACTTTACTTTAGCTACTGCAACTACTGCAGTTAGACTTAATAATACAATAATGTTACGAGGTCTGGACGACCAAAATAATCAAATGCTTTTACGTTTCGCGTTAATATGATTAGGAAACGAACTCTATTTTTCGTTGCCCGCCTTTATAATGCGATAAGAAAAAGATAGCCTCGCTTAATAGCTTAACGGGGATTCCGAGGTTTCGATGCGTATACGGTCGTATCAACTGACTTAAATGCAAATCCACGTGGGTTCAAAATGGGAACGAGAGAAGTCCATCAGGTGGTTCACAGTTCTTTTTTTTTCTGCAATTTCCAAGAATAACGGATTATGTCGTTTCACTTTTGCTTGCTGAAATGAGGTTGATGGTTCTCCGCTTATTCAGACCACCCCTTCTCTCACCCTTCGATGTGACAGTAAATTCAGTATTAGTATCATTATTTCTTTTTTTTTTTAATTTTTTTGAATAATACATTTAACATCAACGCAATGCATTAATAATCTTAATGCTTGCAGAGTTTACCTGCTTTGTCTCTCTGTCTATAATATAGACAATAGCGATTATTTATATGCTGGGGGCGTACAGCGCGTTGTCGAAATCCATGCGTCAAAGGGTTAAATCTCCTTTATAAAGGGTTATATCTTCGCTCAAAGTGACAATTAGAGAGAGAGAGAGAGAGAGAGAGAGAGAGCCGTTAGCAACAATCGCAAGCGGAAAAGCCAATGCCGGAGCTTCATTTCGGAGAGGTACCTACGGCACAAAAATAGCCAGGTGGTGCACCGCTGACCCTCATTCTCTCGTCGGCGATCGGAATCAAAGCTACAAAAGCTGCAGTGATATATTCGCTGGTCGACCGCAAAGCCGATTCCGGCAAATCATACGTACACCGCATATATACGTGATCGCGCCACGTGTGCGATCCGCATCCGTATGTGTGCGCGTGTACGTATGTACGAGCGTGGTTAGGTGTCCAAAGCCGCACACATGCGCAAATATACGAGCACGCAAGAGGAAGTCCCATCAGGCAACGATGGCATCGTGTTCGTGGCATTACCTTAGTCCCAATTTGCATCGCTACTCTTGGTCCACAATTATCGATACGTTGTTCGCTTATGTCAACCGATTGTTTGCTCATCTATACAAAGAGGGAGGGGAGAGAGAGAGAGAGAGAGAGATTCGCGTCCCGCTTTTGATATCCAACGTTGCGTAATTGGGAATTTGTTATATATCTTCCGATCCCGGAAGCGAACGCATAGCAAGGTTATTGTTCCTCTTCTCGCACGATATATTATAGTGTATATTACCTATAGCGTAGCACAAACTACGTTCATTCTCGTGGAAATTTAATTTTGCGAGAATTTCCTAATCGCATGCAACGTTGTATCGATCGTGTCAACGACAGACTAAAATAAAATTGAAATTTTTCACATAAAGTAGACGCCATATTTTTATAAAGTTATCTTTAGAATTGTGAGGGAATCTTTAATTCTGCTGGAAATATTTTTGTTTCTTTGAAACGGTCAAAATATTATTTAAATAAATTTCATCTGACGGTTCCTATTATCGGTTTCGAAATTTAAATAAATAGGTGAAAGTAAAAATTTAATAATGTTCATGAAATAGTTAATTGAGATTTCCAGAGATAATAATGCCGCACTAATAGATGGAATTGTGATTCGCTTCTATACGCGCAAACATATAAATACACGGTTGTGTAAAACAATTCCACGCAAAATGGTTATATTATTGCAGTAAAGCAGTTAATATGCTGAGCAATAAATAGGTACGCGGTCGAGATTATAGAAATATATATTATGGGCTAGTTATACATATAATACCGTGGCTTGTACAAAACACATATTTGAGACAATATATTATGCATTTTGTTTTCGTATACATATATAATATTCAACTTGTCAGAATTCCAAAAATTGTCAAATTATTAATGCTATTTGAATATATGTACGTATTATCAAGTAATATTTAAGAAAAATCGGGAAATTATACTGCTTTTCTTATCACTAACAATAAGTGTCCTTATTTCTATTCATAAAACATTTCCTGGATATATATAGAAAATATTTTATCAATAAAAATTAAAACTAAAAAATTATTAATAATATTGAAAATCATTATCAATTACAGTCAAAGGAACTTCGAAATACTTCGCATGACATCTACCATTTTCCTATTCAGTTATAACTCGGTGGATCAAGCAGTTCAGAAATTTCACTTTGGGTACATTTAAAGAATGAATTGCAAAATAATACATATAATATAAACATTTATTTAACTGTTATGAAAACAATAAATAACAAAATTAAAAATGCGATAGATAATTTTTCAAAATATAGACAAGAAATATCATTTATCGGTACTTTCTGGAGCATCAATAAGTAATATTACTATCAGTCGAGAACAATGCGATAGTAGATAAATTTATATAAGTAAAATGTTATGTTATTACAGTCAAAACTGTGCCCCAAGATTCATCATCGATAAACGAGCATGTCTGCAATTTCCACATGCTGGAAAATGCATGTGCATTTTTGCGTTCGAATCGGTCGAGTCACACTCGTTTCAATTAAAAAGAAAAGACGGCGCGACGGTTAAATGTATGTAATGCCGGTTTTCCTGTTCATGATCAGAAATAGACAGTCCTCTCGACACTTGTTACTCGCACGTCGGTATTTATCTGATGTATCATTATATCGTGCTGCATTTCATTTCCGACGCCCGCACTCTTTGTCAAGTTATGCTCGCGCCGCGCATTGAATCCGTGAAATGTGCATCCACGCGTTTTGTCGTTTCAAGCGAGTTCTGTCTCAGAAGCTGCTTGCAAAGAGTAAGCAAGCTAGCTACTGAAACAGGAAATCATAAAGGTACATTGAGTCGTAATAGCCTTACGTGAAGCATATACATATATCGATCGGTCAACTTTTGAAAGCCACAATACTTTAGAAATTAAAATAAAGAAAATTAGGGAACAAATTTGATGAGATAACTTAAAGTA